AAGCCATAAGCGGTAGGGTGAAAACACGTAAACGCAGAGTTAAGCAATACGAACAAATCTTGCAGGATAATGGATTCTACAACCGGACAAATATCTAAAAAATATAGAAAAGTAATGAAATCAGAAGTGAATTAAACAATTTTGAAAAAACGGATAAGCGTACAGCAAGCTACAAATTACAAAATAGAAAAATTACAAATTTAATATTAAATACAAATTTACAATAGAGCAGGGTTATGTTAGGTTAGGTTTTAAGATATTCCTGATAAATTAATATCAAAATGTACTTTCTGCTATACTTGAATTTATAGGGAAAACACTAGTAGAAATAATACTTATTGTTCTAGAGAGATTGTTTTTACGGTTTATCAAGACTTTGTGGGTTATTTAAAGCCCAAAACATTTTTATATTGTAAGAATAATTCTTTCTTTTTTTTGCTAGTAAATATCTTACTAATTATTTCGCCATTATCTTATTATTTTTTGCGATAATAATGATTTTCATATCAAAGTTCTATTAATTAACCCATAGCTGGGGGAAAAGAGGTGGATTCATACCGTTCTCAAGGGGATTTATGCGTAACTGAATGCAATGAATCCGTGAGAAATTCCAGTTCTACGATATCATATTATTATTAATATGTTTATATTATGAAACATATTTGTATGACGATATGCAGCCTATATATATATATATATATATATAAATATATATATATATATATATATATATATATATATATATATATATGTGTGTGTGAAAACTGTGTATATATATATATATATATATATATATATATATATATATAATAGTAATTGTTGGTTATTGGAATTCATTCCGTGTATACCAATTATATACTTTATATATATATATATATATATATATATATATATGTATTATAAATTAATTGATTTAAAATATGTTTTTTTCCGCTACACAGTTCTAACCATGTTTCAAAAATGGAAGCTAAAAGCCACGAATTTAATTTTGCATTTAAATTAAAGACATTAGTTCCATTTCATCCTCAAGCGAATTTTGGAGTAACTTTGAAAATTACTGGGTTTTAAAGACACAGCTAAAATCCCGTTTCCATGGTTACAGATAAATCTACTTCAACTGGACAAGGGGTGTCTGGGTTTTCCTTATGTCTGTATCATTGTATCGGTTATTAGCTACATTTGGGTAAGGGTAGGGATGTATTTTTCAATGAGAACTGACATCCGTTGAATGCATGTCGTCTGGATATTTTTAAAATTTATTGTTAACGGCAAAAAAATTCTTACGGAATTTTTTTCTATTTGTAAATTTAAAGATTTTTGGGGTTGTTCAGATTAGAATACTTTTTATTTAACTACGATTTGAAATATTCTCATTTTTAATTTTTATTATACTATATTTTTTATGAACAGTTAAATGTATTAGAATCCTTTATATTATGTAGGATTATTTTTACATCAAGTATAAGTATGTATATTAGGGTACATTTTTTTTGTAGCTAATATATATAAATATTCGTTTATTATAATTTTATCATTAGTGAGTAAAATGGTTTCGTCTAAATGATAAAATTATAATGAAGGAATAATTATCGCTCTACTATTCGTATCGAACCCTCTTTTGGATTAATGCTGTGAACGTTGGAATTTATATATTACTTTCGTTTCTCATCGCATGGATATATATATATATATATATATATATATATATATATATATATATATATATATATATATATATATATTTTCATCCACAGACAGACTGTTTCGTAAATCATCAGTGTGGCTAGAAATCAGATTGACTCAAGCCGCGGTAGGAACCCGACTTATTGGGTGTATATATATATATATATATATATATATATATATGGGAAAGAGGTTATAGTAGTTCCAACGAGAGAAAAGTGTGTATAATAAAAAGAAGAGAGAAACCATAAACGTATTTGACTGTAACGTGGATTTTTATTAAAAAATATATTGTGCTTTATTTTCCATAAATTTGGAAAATAAAGCATTATGTATTTAAAAAAAAAATTCACATTGCAAACAAAAACGTTTGCGGTTTCTCTTTTCTTTTTAAAATATACACACACACACACACACACACACACACACAATATATATATATATATATATATATATATATCGCAGTAATTTGTTTCGGAACATAAAATTTGTTATAGTTATCAATCGATATTCAGCAACTCCAGAAGAAAATGATTTACTTTTGAAAGCGGAGTGGTATTATATTGAAGGGTTAAGTAGGAGGGTGGATAGGATTTCAAAATTTTTAGGATGTTGTCTTATTTGACGAATTCAAAAACAGATCTAAGCTAAAGTTGAAAAGTGAAAAAATATAGGTTAGATGTTGGTGTGGAAATGTACTGCATATTTGTCTAGATGAGCCATCATACTTAAATATTTGTAAATAATAATATTATAATATTATTCTCTACTTTTTATCGAGCACATTTTAAAAATGTAAATGCTAAAGAACTGTGGATTATTAAATAGGTCAATGTCGGATCATTATCCCCCCCCTTCCTCTCTGTTTAGTATTGTAATAAAAAAATAAATTTAAAAGCATCACTATTTCTCTCTTCCCTCTCTAATTTCGACCATGTCTGTTACACTATCTCTCACCCCTCTCTATATCACGTTACATCGGCTGAATACTATCCTCCAAACGTGCAATTTAAATTTAAATTCATTTTCTCATACTTAGAAGTGAGGTCTGATGATCCAGTGAACAAAAGAAGATCCCTGGGGAAATAAATTATAACCTTATGTAGCCTTAAAGTTGTCTGGCCTTCTTTAAAATATATATATATATATATATATATATATATATATATATATATATATATATATGTGTGTGCGTGTATATATAATTTTTTTTTAATAATTCCTTAGTCAATAGTTTAGTTGTACTTTCGTTATTTTTTTTCTCTTTCATAGATACCATGTTTTTAGAAGCTTGTTTTGAACAAGTGAATGGACTTTTCGCCCACGTGAACAGGAGTGTTCATTTTTTTCAACAATAAAATATTTTTATATGTCACGGAGCGGTGGAGGCATCATGATTTTATTCACCTGATATCTCTCCTACTGATTATCACTTATTTAAGCAATTTGAACTTTTTATATGAAATAAAACATTTTCTTCAATAAGGAAGAGATAATCGAATCATTTGAACTGTTCATCACATCAAAGAATAAGTATTTTTTGAAAGATTGGATCAAGAATTTGAAGGTAAGGTTGAGAACAGTGATTCATCAACATTCATCAATGCCTATTTCAATTAAATAAATTAGTTATAAATTAAATTATAACATCTCAGAAATGTTTTATTTATTTCCTGTAAATTACGTCATTTCATGTGTAACAAACTAATATTTAACAAATTCAGTATAGATAGATAGATAAGGAACATATTTAGATAGATAGATAGATAGATAGATAACAACAACAAAAATCGTCCACATCTATATAATATCTTATCCAAGAAATTCAAACAGAAATTATATTACAAAATGTTATATAGGAATAAAGTGTCGCTGCCGACACTTAAGGTTAAACAAAGATCGCCAGTGAACAAACACAGGCGATCCCATTATCGAATTGAGTAGACTACGTGACCATATAGATATATATATATTCAGATCACTATACGGATTACTATTCGAGCTAGTACTATCGAGTACTATTAATTCGAGTGTTATTCGTGAGCGTCTGACACCAGCATTATTCAACCCTGTTACTATAGTTGTATCTGCGATTATAAATTCTCTATTATAACGAGCATTACGAAAATGACAATGAGTGTTTGTTGGCATCACAAAACTACAAGCGAATAAGGTTTGAATTTTTCAATATTTGCTTTTAGAAGAGCAGATAGTTATAACTGAATTTGAAATCGAAATTCATTGCTTGAGTTAAATGGATTTTCTAAGCGTAGCTTAGATGTGGCACAAGACCGAAAGTATGGGATATCTAGCGAGAATTGACCTCACTATTCAATCGAAAGTAATCTAGCGAGACAAGCTTGCTAACCATTACAACACATCGGAGTCGTCCCGTTGCCTGGGTTATGTGTGAATAGCTCACTATTTACCTCGTTGTAACTCTACCATGACGTGCCAGTGACTTGATATTTTTCATCAAGATATCTGGCGAAAGGACACTAAGTGTATTCAATGTAAATTGTAGCAAGGAATGTTAACAATCAACCTCTGAGAATTGATCCTCTAATGGGGATTTTAAAAATGTAATTCGTTGCAGACTTGGTTTTGATGGTCTTACGTTCTGCGCTGAAATATGCCTAATTGTATTCTCAAATAGGGGCACGTGGCCGAGTGGTTAGAACGTTCGTATTCTGACCATGAGACCCGGGTTCGAATCTCGTCTTGGTCGATTTGTCAGGAAGGAGACTTCCTGATGTTATCGGACTGGACTCGAGGGGTCGATCCCAGTGTGCGGCACCTTTTGGAAAGTGCCTGAAAATCACAGATTGACCCAAGCTTTGACAGTGAAATTGGGCCGTCGATAGCTGTGATAGAACGAAGCCAGAAGTCATCGTGCCCGAGACCTTCTTCAAATTGTTGATCACGCTAGATAACATGCTCTTTCCCAGAAACTGTAACTAAGGTCTGCTAAGCATAGTTGCAGTATAAACCAGAGGTGGGTGTTGAATAAACACAAATGCGCCTGATCAAGCGTCTGCAATTGGGATTGGCTAGCCGCCCAAGTAGACAGGTATCATCGAATATGAAAATGGTCAGCTATATACTTAAATGAAATGTGTATTTATTGTGAAGACAAGGTGGGAAACAAGGCTATTCAAAGCTGTACAATTTGAACTAGGATTTGCAGAGAGGGTTACAGAATCCGCTGCAAATATCACTAAGTTTTTCTTGTCTGAAAACAAGTTACTCTTGTCATTCAGAAGGTATCACGTATTATGTAAGTCATTAGTATTAGTAAGTCATTTCTTCCACCGATAATGCTTTTTTATTACCAATATTTCAAAGTGTATTTGTTGAAATTTAAAATGATTTCCATCATTCAAGATTAATAGCATCTGCTTATTTCACCTGATGTTTTTTATATTGGGAACTTTCATTTTTTCAAGGAGATAACCAAAATGTTTCCAGATCAATTTCGATCATTTCACTTGATTCGTCTGCCATTTTGTTTGCGATTGCATATAAATTGCCCTTAGAATGGCAGACATGTCGACGTCAAAATAGAAGAAATTTTCCATTTTTCCCCCTTTCCTTGTTTCCATTTGTTTTTAATTTGTGCATAGTTTTTCTTTTCATATATTTGCTGAGAATATTGTTTCTTTTTCCCATTACACTATTTTCCATCATTCGCTTTATATCACTTGTCTTTTCTTTCTTTCTTTCTTTCTTTCTTTCTTTCTTTCTTTCTTTCTTTCTTTCTTTCTTTCTTTTCCAGCTTTATTTCTTTCTTTCTTTTCCAGATTACTTTTTCTTTCTTTCTTTCTTTCTTTCTTTCTTTCTTTCTTTCTTTCTTTCTTTCTAACATGCATTTTTCACTTTCTTTGTTTCACGTTTCTTGACTATGTGAATATTTCCTTAAATCTTACATATTTTGATTTCCGTTTTTCTTTCTTTCTCTCCTTCTCCATTACATTAAACGTGCTCTCTTTCCTTTTTTTCCCCAGTTATTTTTTTTCTTTTATTCTTTACATAGTTTGTTGAGATTGGGTGGAAACACCTAATCGATTGCTCTCCCACAAACGATGAAGTGGGGTGTTTAATAGGCAGAGAGGGGAAAGAGATGCAACAAAAAGGACATTGTCACGAAACCCACAATAACTTTAACAAGAAAACGCCTGCGGGACCGAATTCACAAGACATCGTGTCTTGCTGTCTACTGGTATTTCAGTTGCTTTTATTAGCATGCGGTATTTTACAAAGACCCGTATCTTGGCCAAGTTCAGAGAGGTCCGTATAAAAACATGCCAAGCTGTCTCGCAGCTAATTGAGAAAACGTGCGATCCAGGGCCTCTTTTTCATCTGTATCGACGCGCGTTCGCCATTTCCGTTTAACGCCCTTTCTTTCTTTTCTTCTTTTTTTTTTTTTTTTTTTTTTTCTATTTTTTTTCCAGTTTTTTTTCTTCCGTTTTTAACAATTAGTATTCATGTTTTTCATTCTTTGTTTCGTTCTAACGTGTTCAGCTTAAGACACTTTTTTTCTTTCTTTCTGTATACTTTGTTTCAGTCTTTTTTTTTACATTCTAACATATTTTGTCTAACGTACTTTCTTTCTTTCTTTCTTTATTTCATTCTTTCTTTTCTCTTTCGTTTTTCTTTCTTTCGTTCATTCTTACTTGTACATTTTGTTTCAGCTTTTTTATCATCTATATATTTTCATTCATGATTTTCATTCTTTATGTCATTCTAACGCGTCCCGTTTGACATTCTGTCTCTCTTGTGTAGTTTGTTTCAATTTTCTCATTTATGTTTACATTCTAACATATTCTTTTAAATATGTTTTTTCGTTTTTTATTAGTCTCTCTTTTTGTTTTTTTCTTTCATTTTTTGTATCATTTTTTCCTTTTTTCTTTCTTTCTTACATATTTTTATTCGTGTTTTTTCTTTTTTTCATTCTGATGTTTAATGTCCGTTTTTTGCTTTCTTTCATACTTTCGTTCCTTTTTACATTCTAAAATATTCCATTCAATGCGCTTTCTTTTTCTTTTTTTTCTTTCTTTCTTGTACAATTTGGCCCAGTTTTATCTCTATTTCTTGCGTATCCTGATTCACGTTTTTCTTTCTTATTCCTTTCCTTTTTGTACAATTTGGTAAACCTTTTTTCTCCATTTCTTACGTATCATGATTCGCGTTCTTTTTAATTCTGATACTTCTTATCTTTCTTTCTTTTATTCTTGCGCGGTTTGTTTCAGCCATGTTTCTTTCTATCTAACATATTTTTATTCACGTTTTTCATTCTTTTTTCTTTTCATTCTGCTACATTCCATTTAACGTGCTTTCTTTCATTGTTTCCTTATTTCTTTCTGTCTTCCTTTCATTCTAAAACATTCCGTTTAATGTGCTTTACTTTTTTTACTCCTTTCTTTCATTCCTTCTTTTTTTTCTTTGTTTGTTTGTTTGTTTCTTTCTTTCTTTCTTACATATTCCGTTTAACGTGGTTTCTTTCTTTTCTAGTTCTTTCCTCTCTTTCTTTGTTTTCTTCTTTCCGTCCTTCTTTCTTTCTTCTTTCTTTCCTTCTTTCCACCCGTCATCCTTTCTTTCTTTCTTTCTTTCTTTCTTTCTTTCTTTCTTTCTTTCTTATAAATTCCGTTTAACGTGCTTTCTTTCTTTTCTCCTTTTTTCCTTCTTTCCATCTTTCTTCCTATTCTACGCTTCTTCTTTCGACCCTTCATTCTTTTATCCGGTCTTTCTTTCTTTCCTTCTTTCTTATTTTCTTTCTTTCTTTCATACTTCCTTTCCATATTTCTTCCTTTTCTTCTTTCTTTCTTTCTTTCTTTCTTTTCTTTCTTTCTTTCTTTCTTTCATACTTACATATTGCGATTAACATGCTTTCTTTCTTTTCTCTTTTTTCCTTACTTCTTTCTTTCCTTCCTTCCATATTTCTTCCTTTTCTTCTTTCCTTTTTTCCACCCTCCGTTCTTTCTTTCTTTCTTTCTTTCTTTCTTTCTTTCTTTCTTTCTTTCTTTCTTGTCCGGTTTCGCTGATTTTCTCTTTTTTATATAGAGTGATTCTCGTTTTTATTCAATTCCTTCATTATGACACAATCCGTTTAACGTGTTTTCTTTCTCTTACAGTTTGTTCCGGTTTGGTCTCCTTTTCTTACATATTTGCATGACGATTTTAATAGTAGACATGTACATTGGTTATCTATCGAGTCGAATTTCCACGCTAAACCAGAAGAAAGAGGTCACACATAAATCCATGACAGTGGAAAGAATTTTCATCTGAAAGATTTACATCAAAGGCTGAACATATCTACGATTTGAAAAAAAGAAAATATAACAAATGAACTATAAAATGTAAGCAAGTGGTACTTAAACCTTTAGAGAAACACTAATCTTTGAAATAAGTCAGTACCTATTTTCGGAAGGTTTTTACTCCCCACCGCCTCTCTCTTTCTCTATCTCCTATATATATATATATAGACATATATATATATATATATATATATATATATATATATATATATATATATATATATATATATATATATATATATATATATATATATATATATTAAAGAAAAACAGACTACTTTAAGGTACCATTATGATAATTTATTTCACCAGAGCCCTTTAAAGGACGCTGAATCATCAGGTAGCACTTCCAAAAATGAAATGAAACGAAAAATGAAATTAAAATTGATGGGTAGTGTAAGTTTTTGTAATTTAACAGAGAGTGTAAAAGAGACATGGCAGAGTATAGGGAGGGATTAATTTCATATCTCTCTCAATCACACTTAGTATGGGGAGGAGGAGGAGTGACCAGACCGTGACCTATTTAGATGGTTAACTTAATATATAAGTATGTATATATATATATATATATATATATATCATTCACAGGCAGTACAGTTTCGTTGTATCACAGTTCCCCGGTGCGATTAAACAACCGAATGTCTCAAGCCCAGATCGAAACCTAACCGATTTGTTGCCAGTCAGAGCTCCCGCGACTGAGCCATCTTCACTCGACAGGATGTGCTCGCCAAATCTAACGTATTGTTTTTACAAACGTAAACAAACGCCAAGCAGCCATGGTGCTCCATTCATTTTACTGAAGAGCTTCGCATTTACGCAGCTGTGTATATATATATATATATATATATATATATATATATATGAAGAAAATATATCTTAAGGTGTGCTATATTATGGGATAAAGTGCTCAATATCAGAGATAGAGCGTGTGTAAATATAAAAGTGAAAATTGAAGTCAACACTTAGAGGCGACAGGCTGTTTCATGCTAGACGCAATAGTCAGAAGTGTTGACTTCAATGTTCACTTATATATACTGTTCGTTGAGAATGTGGATCGTTTCGCGTGGTCAAGCTAGGATGAAAAAAGAAAAGACGAACATGCTGTCTTTTCTTTTTTTGCATCATCTTTGGCTGAGGAGGAAGTGACGTAAGTCATTAACGATTGGTCAGCAGTGGCATTTATTTAATGAGTTCATTTGGTGCGTGCATGGCGTATTTTTTTCCTTGATTCAGGATCGCCTGCCGGAATAGTACTGTTGGAAGACCTGAAACTTGTCATGACCCCAAGTCATAACATCACTGACGAGGCGATCCTGAGCACTCGAGTGTTTTATATATATATATATATATATATATATATATATATATATATATATATATATATATATATATATCAGCCACTCTTTTTCACCACCGTAATGTAGCTTCCCTGTGCCTTTTCGACAAATATCTTCATGGTAATTGTTTGGATGAACGCACCATTATGGTGCCTAGACATTATGAATTTAAGCGCAGTACCCGATTGGTAACAAGGTCTCACCAATTCACAGTTGAATTGGTGAGATGTTACTGTGAATTGGATACCAAAAGTTTTTTTGGGCGCATCTCTCGCTTGCTGAACTATCCACCGGTTCCATTCTTTCCAGCCAACTTTGATCTTCAAAAATTTAAAGGCAATGTCAATCGTCATCGACTGTCTTCTTGATTAATCTTGTTCTGGCTCCTTAATAATATTTCTCATCTAATTCTAATTTTTTACACTCAATAACCCCTCCTGCATTCCTTGGGATGAAATGATTTCATATATATATATATATATATATATATATATATATATGATTAACAAATTAGAAACTTAAAGTATCCAATTTGTTAATTAATCATTATCATACATTGATATTTATATTTGTATAAATATACTTATACATACATATCTATCTATCTATGTGCGTGTATGAGTGTATTTAAGAAGCAAGTATTCATTCAAACAAATTCTATTAAAT